CTCTTGAATGTTAAGAGTCAACGCGGAAATTTTATCGCTCAGGGTACCGGACGCCATGATGGTTGAGTAGAACTTGTGGGAAGAAGAAGCAGATGCTCTCTGGGCTGCCGCATACTCCTCGTTTTCTTCCTGCAGCAATTTGTTGGCAAGCTCGTGAACGCGCTCCATAAGGTGGCGGGGCAAAGCGTTCATGTGTTTCGTGTCGGCGGCGGCGGAGGGCATAGGGATATTGTACCAATCGGATCGAGGAAGAACATTCTATAATGATCATGTTAGCAAAAGCGTTGCGGTGCTGGACTGGTCCACAACTCACCAGCTTCAAATACTCCTTAGGCACGACAGATTCAGCCTCCTTTGACTTAGGAGCAGGGGCTTCCTCAATGTCAGATTCCGGCCCGCTGCTCTCTGCATTGTCTCCGCTGTCCTCGAGATCATCCTCGCTCTCCATTTCCTCTTCGTCGTCTTCGAGTTCGTCTTCTTCGACTTCGTCATCTGCAAGATCCTCGGGCACGACGTGACCTGCAGCCTCCAACATGCTAGAGAGCTGCTTCCGAAGATCATCGTCAACCTTGCCGGACTCGCCCTCAACCTCAGACTCAGAGTCGACACCAGCAAGAAGATCAAGATCCTCCTCAGTACCACCCATAGCCATAATTTCTTGGCGCAGTGTTTCGTCGTCATTGCTCTTCTTGCCACCCTTAGGCTTTTCTTGCTTGTTCATTCCACCATTGTTCTGCTCGCGAGCAATGACCTCGCCGTTGCGATCCCGCTTCTTGCCTTGCGCAGAATCCTGAGGGCGGCCGGGCTTGGCGGGGGATTGCTTTCCTTTATTTGCGGAAGCATTGGCGGCAGGGGCTGATGGCTTGGTATTATCCTTCTTGCCCTTCCCGGTGCTCTGATTCTGGTTCTTCAAACGCTGTTCGATTTTCTGTCGTAGGCCTGCGAAGGCGCTCTCGTCCGGCATGGATGGCGTGGTTTCAGTAGCGGGAGCTGAGGTGCTTGTCGCAGGAGCAACCTCATTTGCGCCCGAAGAGCGCTTTCCTTTCCCCGCAGCCATGCTGTGTTGTGTTTGGGATTGAATGATGGAGGAAAGAAAATTAAACGGAGAAATCTTTTGCGGCGGGTTATCGGGGCGCTCGGACCAACGCGATAAGAAACATCGGAGAAGGGACACTCGACTTGCTCTACAACTTATTTTGTGTTTAGCCTGCTGGTCAATTGCGGAAATTATAGCTTCTGACGACTTAAAGCATCTTGATCGATGATTTCTAGGATACGACCTCTATCAGGGCGCATAGCCGGGCAGCGGCTAGCGCTGAGCCTGCGAGTTCAGCAATGCAATATTCACGTACGCGCTTCCAAAAGATTTATTGAATCTGCTTGACAGTGAGTACTGACTCGATATAGGTTGACGGCAGAAGCCGTGTCTCAAATATCTGGATCCCTACTGGTGGAATCTCCAAGAAGCCCGTTGATGGTGAAAAGGGTACGCCATCCAGAAACCCGATGCTATCATCAGATGTTAACAGAGATCTAGAGGATGCCAATGACTTGCTGGTCCGGGCTGGCTTTCTCCGACAGGTGAGCAATCATACCTTTTTATCCAAGTAAATATCTCTGACGGCATTCCAGGCATATTCTGGGGTTTTCCATTTGCTCCCACTTGGTTTACGTGTCCAAGATAAGCTAGAGCGTCTGATTGACAAGCATATGAGCTCACTTGGTACGGGATATACCCTGTTCTTATCATGAGATGGCAACTAAAGCAAATTTAGGCGCATCCAAGGTTTCTTTGTCCTCAATATCCTCGCAAGAGCTCTGGAAACAGTCTGGCAGACTGACTGACGGCTCAGAAGTAGGTTGATCATAGATCATACCCAATGTCTTGTATAATGTCACTGACATACATCATAGCTATTCCGGTTCAACGATCGGAAGGACACTCCATTTCTCCTGGCCCCGACACACGAAGAAGAAATTACAACACTTGTGGGGCATCTGACAACATCATACAAGAGCCTGCCTCTACGGGTGTATCAAATTTGTGAGTGTGCTTCTTTATTTATTTATAAACTCGGCTAACATAACCGAAGCGCGAAAGTACAGAGATGAGGCCCGGCCTAGACAGGGCCTGCTTCGCGGGCGAGAGTTTATCATGAAAGACCTCTATACATTCGACTACAGTGTCAACGAAGCATTGAAAACATACGATGCAGTCAAAAATGCCTACACAGAATTATTTAATGAACTCAAGATTCCCTACCTAGTCGCGGCAGCAGACTCGGGGAATATGGGCGGCTCATTGAGCCATGAGTACCACTTCATCAGTCCGAAGGGCGAGGACGAAGTGGTCAGCTGCTCGCACTGTGACCATGTCTATAACGAAGAACTCGCAGATGGCAAGACGCACAGCTTTGAGGAGTCCGAACAGAACACGGCACCTGGCTTCCAGACAGATGATGCGCCTGTCGAAGGTGGACCCACAATCTCAACTGGCATGTGGATGGCCATCTCTCATGATAACAACACCATCGTGCGGAGCTGGCATCCCAAATTTTCGATGCAGAACGGCGCGACAGAGCCCGTTGAGCGCCATATTAATTCACACGCCGTCAAGGCAGTGGCGACTGCCGCTGGTATTGACCTCGATCTGAGCGTGGAGAACCCCCTAGAACGATGGACCGCCCACGTAAAGGCACACAAGTCCCCCGCACACAAGCCGCGTGTATTGGATCTATACGACTCACAGGTCCGGGTATACCAGCGTCCACCGCTGAGTGATCTTCTCCAGCAAGTGGGCTGCGCAGCCTCGGATATAGATTACTCCAAGCTGGACCGATTCCCTGGGACTTCCAACAAACTCAGCCTTGTTCGCGTGCATGACGGAGACCGGTGCTCGCAGTGCGCACATGGATCGTTAACCAGCCACTCGGCCGTGGAACTAGGACACACATTCCACCTAGGAACGCGGTACAGCAAAGTCCTCAATGCGTCCGTTTCTGTCAACTCTGCTCTTCTGGAGGGATCTTCGGAGCTAGATGTGAAATCTTCTGCCAAAGAACAGATCGTGCCCATGCAGATGGGATGCCATGGTATCGGCGTCTCGCGTATGATCTCTGCAGTGGCGAACCGACTCGCTGATTCCAAGGGACTCAATTGGCCGCGTGCTATGGCGCCCTACGAGATTGTGGTGGTCTCAGGGAAGGGGCTGGAGACCGTTGCGGATCAGGTGTATGATAGTCTTACCGGCGATACCGCGGCGCCCCTCGATGTTATCCTTGATGACCGGGATAAGGGTATGGGCTGGAAACTTGGCGATGCAGACTTGATTGGATACCCCATTATTGTTGTTGTTGGGAATGGATGGAAGAAGAAAGAGACCTTGGAAGTGCAATGCCGTCGGCTGGACGTGAAGGAGGATGTGTCATTGGATGGACTGCGCACATTTGTCGAGTCCTTGTTGGCGAAACTATGAATGACTGGAAGCCACAGTATGTATTATTAGCAGTTCAATTTGTACATTATCTCATCTCCGACAAGTGTAAGACTACATAGTTCCTGATCTTGTCAACAATGGCACCCCAACAACAAAAGAAAAACTTCAAGGGCATTTTCTTGCCTCAGATATACCTGAGGTATATAGTAGGTAACACGAGTTCTAGGGAATGATATACGGAAGCCAGCATTGACCACAATATAGTGTATGAGATCCACTCCTCCACAGTAGCGGTGTACATGTAGTTAATAGGGCGTCAGACTCTCGATCATCTCCAATTAACGCATGAAATCAATAAGGTTAAATGTCCACTTTTTCTCCGGACTTCACATTTTCCGTACTGATCGACTCTGGAGGTCGTCCCCCGGGGGTTCCACGCCGAACACTCCGGTCCGAATACTCCGGTCTGTCATACTCCACCCGCCGATATATAGAGATGGCCTTGACTCATTTGAAGGGCAATTGATTCTATCCTCTTGACTCGCATGTTAGATTGTCTTCATATCTCCTATTACAATTTATTACCTATCCTCACGACTTAATTTAAGCATCACACCATGCACAAGACCAACATCCATATCCCGGGCCTCGGCGGATCCAATGCCTTCACTCGGACTCTGAGCAAGGACGACGTGAAGATCTGTGTAGCCGTCGAAGAAGCATTTACAGAGGCGGAGCGATGCTCAGAGGAAAAGGTAAGCCAGAGCCAGAGCCGAGCCAAATGAGTAGTTCCCAGGATTTCTTCTTCTGACACGGTGCAAGTTCTGCTATCGCCTGGGAGCATGCCCGGAGCTATGTCTGGGACTTTTTGTTGAGAATGAACAAGATCCAGATTCACCTACGCTCATTGGACATGTCATTGCAGTCCGCTCTCCTTATACTCGTATCACCGACGGGTCGATGGCAATGCCGGAGAATTGGCGGTCACTGGATGGTGAGCCTGTCTTTGTCAATGATGAGTTAATCGGGAATCATAAGTACGGTGATAGCGTTGCAATTCACTCTGTTGCTATTTCGCCGGAGTATCAGGGAAAGAAGGTTGGGAGAGCTCTTGTCCGGGCGTACCTTGAGCATCTTGGGAGGGGTTGCTTTGGAGCGAGCAAGGTTGTGCTTATTGCGCATGATTACTTGGTGAAATTTTATGAGAGTGTTGGATTCAAGAATCAAGGGAAAAGCCAGTCTAACTTTGCAGGTGGTGTCTGGTTTGATATGGTACGTTTATTCCCAGTGTGGACTACCTAGGTAATGATCGTCGAGTGCTAATAGATGTCTACTAGACTTTTGATCTGGAATGATCTCAATTTTCGGTTTGATTTCTCGCACTGCAACCATATTATACAGGATCCAAGACTTCACAGGCACCAAGATGGTACCCAGAATAAAGATAGCGTTGAGGATAAATATAGAATTCTTTGCGATGCCTTTTCTTCCAAACCAATTCCTGCTCACAATATCTTCTGTGAGTGCCAAAACCGAAGTTACTTATCATCTCCAAGGTATTCAGTCAATAGACCGCATCAGTCTGTGTTGGATCGAGTCTGCTGGCTTCCATGCCTCTCGGACCCTCTGGAGTTCCATTCAGCCACTTCAAATCTTCTAGGTCAATCATCACAAAGGATTGTGATGTGGGATTCCACAGTACGTTGCGGAAGGATGCATCTTTCTGAACAACTCCATGTTCTTGAAGTGTACCCTCGAGATTTTGCGTCTCCTGTTCAAGGTATTGACACACTTCGAGACCGGCATCTTGATCTGTTCGGATTCCAGACCAGCTGAGCAGCAACATGTATCTCATGTCAACTCCATGATACCAATATGGGATCTTAGGCGAAAACATCCCAAGACATACAGGAATTTGGGATCCCTGCAATGGCATCAGATTCTGATAGTTGCGAAATTCAGCGTGGATCCTGTGGGACTTGCTGGCGCCAGTAGCCTTGATCAACATCGTGTACCCATGAGACAGCAACGTAGCTTTTAGTAGATAGCAGGTTCGACCAATGATGTGCAGTTGCTGAAATCCTGTGTACCGATTCTGCCGAAGCTGTTCATTCATTCTCTCGCAGATCTCCTCTGCTCTGATTTGATGTTTTGCTGTGCCGTGCTCAGCAACATTCGGACAGTTATCATCCAGGATGTCCTTTTCAAAGGTGCCCCGGAGGCATGCCTGGGTACAGTAAGGCTTGTAAACATCTGACAACCTCCCGGAGAATTCTGAAGTAGGGCTTTCATCAAATACCCTTACTATGATATCACCCACAATTTTCTGCCAGAAGCCAGGCCAGATTGAGTTTTCATAAATGAACTCTGCTGGTGGACGGAACCGAATTTCATCCGGGGTTTGGGGCATGTAGACTGAGTGATCGTCTTTGAGTGGATGATATGTTTGATAGACCGCATCCTGCCATTGTTGCGATGGTGGACTGGCAGTTAAAGTCTGTAGGGCAAAAGCGAGGACTTGGCCCAAAGCCGTAAGACGAACCCAGTTTGGACGCGAATCGTAACCATGAGATACGACGTCTCGACCAGGAACACAGAGGTAGTGTTCGACAGCGGAAGAGTCTTCTGGGGTGATGTGAAGAAATATCAAGGCCTCTCCTGTGTAGATATACCCATACCGGCGCCCAGAGCAAATCATTCTAGAGTAAAGTCGGGCGATCGCACGGATCACCATGTTACTGGCATGTTCCTCAAATGTATTGGGTTCCTTGTCCAAGGCCTCTACCGGTGATGTCGTGCGCAACCCTGCGACCAGTTCGGGCACAGTCAGACAAAAGGATGGAATGTACAGGACTGCGTACGCTGGCTCTTGGAATTCAAACTTCGTAACAGAAACGCAGCAATCACTGGGGCGGTCGAACTTCAGTCGCCCGCGGACGCTAAAATCGTATCGCAGTGTGTCCTCACGCCCCATAAAATCAATAATCATCGCGAGGAAATCGTCCAGTGTTCTGTGTGCAAATTGCTTCAGAGTGTCTTCCGAATGCACCGTGTACCATTGCAGGTGATGAGCAGTGTATTTCATAGGGGTTCGCGAGGGAAAGACCCATCTATTAACCAATTCGGGCGCTTTGCAGATTTTCTTCCATGTCGCTTCTTGGAGTTGAGGGAATTCAAGCCAAGGCTCGAGCGATAAGGGGCATAGTCGCTCATCCCCTGGGAACCAGGCCGATGGCCAAACCAATGAACGTACATCAATCTTTAGCGCATGTAGGAAGATATGATGGACGCTTTCAAGATGCGCGATCAGTGGAATGTTGGGCGGGGGAGCTGGGAGTGAAAATGGTGAAAATGGTATTTGCGAGCTTGTAGCTCCCGGGTTTGCGGGCCCTTCATCGAGGCTTTCGATCATATGTTGCCATTCTGTCCATGTTTGGTCCATGACTGTAGTGAATATGAAAATACAAGTCGAAGAATATGGGGAGGAGAGCGTCTTCGACTTCAAGGGTTTTAATATTTGGAGATGTGTTGATTCGCTCCTGCCAAAGAACGCTCTACGCCCTTGCCTGCATGTACCTGATATAGGAATGATATCACTGTTGGATACTATAGAACCGTTGATATAACGAAGTATAGCAGGTAGTGTTTTTAGACGGTCTTTTTAGACGTCTGGTTATATAGATCTTGTCCCCCTTCCTACTTTCTTAGGTAGGTATGTATTCACTCTTGGGACGTAGTCATGGAACGATACTAGAAATGTATTCTGCATATGTAACGACCGGGATTATTGCAGTTGTCATGTAGTTCAACTCTACCTCATAAGGTAGGGTAATAAAAAAACCAGTTTACCAGTGATAGAAAGAGTATCAACCCCAACCAGCAGTCGCAGTGTGAAGATATCCAGTACGTAGACGTACGACTCCGTCAGCATTTATCTGACCCGGTCGCCCAGTGCAATGATTGGTGGTGGTCGTTCGATATTCTGTCTGAAGATATATCGCTTGATCCACCAAGGAAGCCACACAGTCAGTTCGTAGTGAATGAACTTCTTGGTCGGCACTGAGAAAACCTCTGTAACCTATGTTAGTATATATTGTCACGGAAATCCATAACTCCAACTTACGATCCAATTCCTCTAGAGTTAGCTGCTTGGTCTCCCTCACAAAGCAGAAAATCATAAACCATGCGATGAGGTTAAGACCAGCATAGAAGCCAACTAACGCGAGGGTTAGCAATCTGAACACCACGTTCCAGAAGTTGTCAACTTACATGCACCGGTTTTGGTCATTACAGTCATCATTCGAGGGAAAGTCAGACTAAGGACGCCAGCTGCAGAGGATTTTGTTAACGGCATGTTCGGTGGATTAGATGCCCGGAATACCCACCAAAAGTGTTGTTGATGCAAACAGCCCACGCCATTCCTTGCTCTCGCTGAATGGTCGGGAATACCTCAGCGGAGTATTGGAAAGCGACTGGTCCTTCACCTAAGGAGTAGGCAATAGTGAATAGATACACAAACCTAATCGAAGACATCAATCAGTCTATGCTCAGACAAAGTGGAAATGGTCAAGCTTACAAGGCAACCGGTGCAATCATCGCGGCATGATTATCTGTGTTGTTTAGAAGAGAGAGACCAGCGGCTAGCAGGAAGATGCACATGAAGGGGAATGTCTTTGTAAGAAAAATAGTCAGTAATATTCCACAATAAATTCCGAACCGACTCACAATTAACGTCAGGGTTCTTCGGCCTTTCGTATCAATCAGGAATAAAGTAGGAATGGTGGCCACGACCTGGATAGCACCGTAGCCAAGAGAGGCATACAAGGCCTGGTCCTCTGTGTATCCGACGTCTCGGAAGATGGTTGAGCTGTAGAAAGAAATGACTAAAAGGTGTTAGCGGTGGCTACTCTCACTGGGCGAGACACAACTTACTGTTGATACCGCACATTTGTTGCGCAATCATGACCGTCGAGGCACCATAGTTCGCCCGTCTGATCCTCGGAACGGCGAAACAATCCCACAGACGAGAGAAATAGCCCGCGCCACGAGCCTCCTTGAGTTCCTCTTCGTAGATAACGTATGAATAATAGAAGTCTCTGGCAGCAATGATTGGATGAGCTCGCAAGCGCAACATCGAGTTGAATCCTTCAGCATGTCTGTTATGCTTCATAAGCCAGCGAGGAGACTCAGGGCAGAAATATATTCCAGCACCGAGGATGAAAGATGGGATAAACGCGGAACCGAGTTGGAGACGCCAAGCGATGTCTTTGACGTCTTTGACAATAACATTGGCAGCAAAGCCCAAGAAAATACCTGCGCTAAAGGTTAGCCACGTTTCTCGACGAAGGGATGAGCGATACTAACCAGCTACGACCCAAAGTTGCCAGAACATAACAAGAGCACCTCGAGTCCGGGCCGGAGCCATCTCAGCCGAGTAGATCGGCACCGTAGCGTTCTTTGCCCCAATGCCGATACCCATCACAAATCGCGCAGCGAAGAGACCTTGCCATGACTGTGCAAAACCAGAGCCAATTGGCGTAGCAGTGAGACACAGAGCAGTGACGAAAATCTCACCTCGTCGGCCCAGATAGTGGTTAAGCGGATCGACAATCCAAGCACCACTATGTACAAGGTCAGTCACAAAGGATAGAAGGAAAATGTTCTTCACCGGTGCTTTACTCACATGAGACCCGCGGTCAAGAAGATGATAGAGTTGACGATTCCCACAATCCATTCATCCGTTCCTTTGCCGTCAATATGGAATTCCTCGTGGAAGGACAGGTTGGCACCGTTAGATCCAGTCTGATCCCATCCTTGTGTGGCGGCTCCGACAGCACACAGACCGATTGAGTACCAGAGCATTTTCGGACCATGCCATTTATGGTCCCTCTCGTATGTAAGCGCGGCGCGCTCCTCTTCGTCAATCTCGGTAGCCGACGGGAAGTCGTTGGGGCTCCGCGCAATCACAGCAGCTCGACCAAATAGGTCGGCGTACTCACTCATGTTGTGTGACTCGGCATAGGCACGGGCATCAATCATAGCCTGCTGCTTGGAGCTGCGCTATATACACAAAGTCAAAGTCAGCTTTCATGCTCGACGTGACTACCAAAGACTGGGGGTTTCAGTTGTAGGCTTACCATCAACGGATTCTGAACGATATTGATACCGATAGCCTGGCGGCGCTCAGGCGCATCAGCGTTGGCCGCCTCATCCAGCTCTGCTTTATTGGCCTGGACCACATGCTCATAGTGAGGAGGCGCCTCCTTAGACGTCTTTTCTTCCATGATGGGGAGCTTTTTGGTAGCTTTTCAGATACAGGAGATCTCAGATCTTACGATTCAAAAAAAAAAAAAGTTTGGGGGGGAAGATTGGTTACCCCACAGAATATAAAACGAGATCAAACTCCCCCCGTGGGGTGAGCACAACTGCAGATCAAACCCAAAGTGAGCTTGTGGCTTTGTCCAAGGACGGCCACATTGGACCACCCGTCAGCACTAAGGCGCTAACGGGGATCCTAGCACCCGGTCAAGTTACAGGCAACACGCCATATTATTACATTTGTGGGTTGAGACGTCACCGACATAGATTAAGGCAGTGGTAAAGGCATGTTAGAAATAGTGTAGGACAGCCCCCGGATTTTAAAACCCACCCAAATCTGACAATAATCATCGATCATCGATCACCGCTGAATCCACCCATGTCAAAGCGTATGCGGGGGTAGAAGGATGATCATGAAGGCCAAGCCTCGGCCTTTTGAGTCATGCGGTAAAAAACGTGTTAATGGAATAGGCTCGAAACTATAACCCTGCAAGGATATGTTTTATTACAGGCTGATTGGCCGTTTGTCTCCCGTAAGCTGAAAAGGAGGTGAGTCTCAGATTCGGATTCCTGCATCTGCGACATCCATGGAGATGACGAAGAACGTGTAAGACTGCAGTCAGCATCGGATATATCCGGATCACATGATGCCGCCCAGCCCTCTATTCAGCCGCGAAGTCGTCGATCTCATGACTATATGCTAGGGTGACATTTTGAATACTATAGTTGGATCCTCCTCTGAAATCTATCGGAAATATTGATCTTCGATGATGCAAAGCATGGAGGTTTCTTCGTCTAAAGCCGCTTACACCATTATAGGTGGTCTGTGGTCTGACAAGGTTGCGTGGTTGCCTCGCGCCTTGAGCAGCGGAACCCGTTCATCCCTCAACATCCTTGTCCTGGGTCATGTAGTGACCCCTCTACATATCCCAATGTTCAGACCTTCCCAGGCTCTTCTCCTTTCTTGGCGCGGACCTTGAGTGGACATATAAGACCCAGCCATAACCCAAACCCGAGGACCGAGTATACGAGGTCTACACCGGGCGTGGGAAGGGGAAACGTGATCAACTTTTGTGGCTAGAGGCGGGACCATGCAGCCGAATATACTAACTGGTTTATAATAGTCGGACACGAGCGATAGAATTATAGCAGGTTGCTTCTCTACTTCTGAAGGAGTCATTCTTCGGCACTGAAGCAGATCCCAAGCAAAATGGGTTTGATCGCCTACTTCATATTGCCTTCGTCTCTAAGAGTAATTCCAAGTGACAATATCCTATCTGGGAGCCCATCAGAGAGGTATGGAGTGAGATTGGAGTTCAACATAGCCCAGATGGTTGCTCAGGGAATAGATATGGGTGTCAGTGAACTGATTCCAGCTTATTACTGGAGCTATTGTTCATCGACCTGAGCTCACCTACGAAGGCCCACGAAAGCGGGTTCGTGGGGCGATATTATCAGATGGTCTGCGCTTTAGTGCACGGGAGGAGGTTACCGTCACAGCTGGTACCCTCCGCACGCCTCAGACCTCATGCTCTCTGGGATTGGACCGACTAATGCATTTCTTCGCACGCTATTTGCGGTGACCAATTTACCAGAGGATTGTAAGACACTGAGCGATCATTTCTCCTCCTACAGTTATGCAATCCGCGCAACCCCGACCCCGGGAAACCTCTTGTTGAGACACTAATCGTCTATACGCCGTTCGGGGTTGCAGGGGTCCAATAGATGGTAGCTTTATCATGACCTCGGTCATGTTACTAGTATCTACTTATATAGGAACCGTTAGTATTCGATCGTCATCACTCAACGACTCACCTTTGACCGGTCCAACTACTTCACATAGGAGTTGATCACGTCAGGCCCATCCATGGCAGCCGTCGCGTTATACAGGCTCTGCTGGATACACGCACATTGACAGAGTACATCGAGGTCGAGGTGCCTCCCCGTGGAATGTCTACCTTGTCCTCGCAACCGCCAAGTGAGGACTTCGAGGTGCGTATTCGAGCGAGTGGTATGGCTCACAATCATTTCGCCGGCACTGCTGCAATGGGAAAGATGGTTGATCCAGACCCCCGTGGCGATAGAGTCCAGAACCCTCGCGTCCTGGATGCAAGTATCTTGCCTGTAGGCATTAATGGTTACCTGTAAGCTAATCTTGATGCTATTGAAGAGCAGGCCGTAGATATTATTCTATGTCAATTGTCAAAGTTTTGGTTGCGCAAGACTTCGCTTCCGTATCCATTCCCATATCAAGTTGCAGTTTAAGCGGCTGATAACCAAGCTGAATGTTGTTCTATCGAACATGTTCCACTAAAGGCAGCAGGAATATACAGACATTCTATCATCTTTCGGATCATTCCCTTTGATGGTGACAATTTTCGCTTAAGTAGAAGGCTATTTATAGATTTGTTCCCTCTGTTTCTAAATGGCGGTTCTAGTTGTCCTTGGGCACTCCCTTTATATTCCTTTGTTTCTATATCAACAAAAACAATTAGTAATTTATTTAATTGGCTGATAGGTGATAAAGGTCTTGTTTGGATTTGCCGAATATCTCATCAATGACTCGCTTTGTTCTCGACGGCTTCCTTTGACAAGAATATGTCCCTTTGTGTCTCCCGAAATACATAGACAATGTCTGCAATAATCTAGCAAGTACAAAGAAAGAGTCTTTTGAGTATTTAGGAATTGAGGAATTCCTCCTAAACCATCCTGGTTTCTAAAAATTCCAAACAACTCCAAAGCAACAATACAATAAAACAAGTTAACACTTCAACAGTCTAACCATCTAGCAGTCCAATCCAACAGTTCGACATTCAACAGAATCACTTCCTGTGGACATCATCCAATATGGCTCCGAAACCAATAGAATTCAAAATGAATATGAGCACAAAGTTTGAGAAACCAATTTGGGAAGCACTTGGTATCGATCTGGCCACGAACAATGCCGATAAATTAGCCGTCATCCGCTTGCTTCGAGAGATCCATAACCCCATGTTGCACGACTGTCTTCAAAAGGGACGTGATTGGAGCTCGACATTTAAAGGTAAGTTGGGATTCGAGATTAGACGCAGGCTCACAGAAAGGCAAAACGATTTGCCAGCTATAGTTCGTGCTCATGTCCCAGATCCAGCGACACTTACAGAGCGTATGTACAATGTCATTAGATATTACCGCTTCACTGATCCTTCATGGAGAGTCGTCGACCCTAACTATCCTATTGTTGAAGTTGTCCCTCCACCTCCTCCTGCAGGTGGCCTTGCACCTCGCCCTCCTGGTCCTGCTCCTCCTCGTGTTCTTGCTCCTGCTCTTCCTCCTGTTGATAGGCGTCTTCTTGTCCCTGCTCCTGGTTCTGCTTTTGTCCCTGCTCCTGCCCCTGCCCCTGCTCGTGCTCCTGTTCGTGGCCCTGCTCGTGTTCCTGCCCCTATCCGTGGCCCTATTCGTGCTCCTCCTATTGATGATGTTCCTTCTTCTCTTCGTATTCCTTCCTCTACTCTTGATCGTCCTCGTGCCCGTCCTCGGCGTCAGCCTCATGCTCGTGCTACTGCGCCTGCGCCTACGTCTGCCCCCGCACCTGATCCTGCGCCTGCTCCTACGCCTGCTCCTGCTAGGCCTCGTGCTAGGCCTCGTGCTGGTGCTGGTGCTGGTGCTCCTGAGCCTGATCCTGCTCCTGCACCTACACCTACGCCTACTCCTGCTCCTGCACCTACTCCTGCGCGTGCTCATGCTGGTGCTCGTGTGACTGATCCTGCGCCTGCCCCTAGCCCTGCCCCTGCTCCCACTCCGCCTCCGGCTCCTAATCCTGTTCCAGTTCCTAATCCTGTTTTAGTTCCAGTTCCCACTCCTACTCCGACCCCTGCTGCCGCCCCTACTTCGGATTTATATCTCGATGAGCAAGACTCGGCGCTACTGACAGCGCTAATGGGCGCTGGGTACGGACCAACCGACACAACATCTTCTGATCCCGATCCTACTCCAAATTCGTATCTCGATGAGCAAGAAACGGCGCTACTGACAGCACTAACGGGCGCTGGATACGGATCTCAGCCACCCGACACAACATCTGCTGCCCCCGCTCCTGCTCCTGCTCCTGCTCCTGCTCCTGCTCCTGCTCCAAATTTGTATTTCGATGAGCAAGACGCAGCGCTAATGACAGCGCTAATTCGCGCTGGATACGGACCAACCGACACAACATCTTCTGATCCCGATCCTACTCCAAATTTGCATTTCGATGAGCAAGACACATCGCTAATCCGCGCTAGATACGAAGCTCAGTTCACTCCCGACCCACCCGCCATAACATCCCCTACTCCAGCTCCAGCTTCACCTCCACCTCCTAGCCGTTTCCGTCCCCTTTCCCCTGCTCCAGTTCTGGCTCCAGCTCCAGCTCCTATCTCTGTTTATGTCCTTCCACCTCCTCCTATTGATAGACGTCTTACCATCGCTCCTCCTCCTCGAAGTCGCGTCCCTTTTGGAAGGTCTACGGGGCCAAGATCTAAGAATCCACACCAGGCTTTTACTAATACTACAGCTCCTCTTAGTCACTCTCTCACCACGTTTGCCCTCACTCCTTCTTCTGGTCCTCAAGTTCAACCTAGCATTAGTCTCGATCCAGATCATGCTCTCGTTATTGCACCGGAAGACCTTCACGCCCCTATTCCAGATGAACCACAGAACGACTACCTTATGACCGATCCTATGGAAGCTCCATCTCCGCCTGGTACTGACCTAGATGTTTCTTCACTAGAAGGACTTTACGCCCCTATCCCAGATTTACCACAAAGTGACTTCCTCATGACCGATCTTATGGAAGCTCCATCTCCGCCTGGCACTGACCTAGATGTTTCTGCACTAGAAGGACTTTACGCCCCTATCCCAGATTTACCACAAAGTGACTTCCTCATGACCGATCTTATGGACGCTCCATCTCCGCCTGGCACTGACCTAGATGTTTCTGCACCTACTATTGGACGTGAGAGTCGCAAGCGGTCTAGGGATGATGATGGTGAGCAAGATGAACCGTCTTCCCCGCCACGAAAGAAGCAGTCCGAGTGGACAAATTTGACTACTCTAAGTGACTCTTCTTCAAGTGGCAATGAACCAGAGCCGGATGCTGGTGGCGATATCCTGATGGATGATCAACCGTATATGCCTTATAAGATTGCGAATGAGTCTGCTGAACCAGATAGCAGCGTGTGGTCTACGATGCGAGGTTATCTCGGTCTTACGGGCCGCGGATCTACTCCACCGGAACAAGATGAGCAGCTCTAGGACGGTTTGGTAATAGGTGAGTGATTTAGTCGACGACGTTTTAACACAGCCTGGGGGAGTATGGATATGATATACAAACATAAACTAGACTAGACTAAGCAGAAGGGGCAAAGGTGATGATATAGACACTACCCAGACTTCGGCGTCATCATAGTTGATTTTAATACGCTACTTGATTATATATTAGAAATCCTTTTCTTTCAAGCTTCAATTATTTAATACAAGGAATATACGTTCTTTTAAGTTGTTTAGTACATATAATTAAATATTCGCAGATGCAGACGATGTCGCTCTTGTACATGTGTCTACGGGTGCTTGGAACAATTTCATTTTCGATGACGGATGCTGGCTCCAACACCGTAAAGAGGAAGACATTCAAACACATCTTTATATCACCTTGAGCCAATGGGTAGAGGTTGTATAGGCGCCTGACTACTCTCCTGTCTGTACAGTTTCAAAACACGACTTATCTTGCTTTGTCTTCAATGTTCTTTGTTGGATGGAATTTCATTGGTGTCAACACCCACAAAGAGTTTCGTACCTCAGTTTGAGAGCATGAATGAATTCCTCACTTGTAGCAAATTGACTGTGTGTGTGGTGCGAAACCTAGTCATTACTGCCTTTAAAGCTCCAACCTTTCATATGCTTCTTTATCTCGCCCAAAAGCTCATCAGCAAAGTCGGACAAGCCCAGTCTGCCTACAAAATAAGGCATCCATAGAGCATGGGATGATCCATCACGTCATATATTCTTCCAGTATATCACTATGTTCACCTACTATATGGCAGGCAAAGTAGGGTCGGAAGCCAACAAAGAAGGATGATACGCGAGGTTCTCCCAAAAGTCAGTCTCGAAATCGCACAGATCCTGGCTGAAAAATGAAGCCCAATCACCATTCTCTCCTAGATGCGGTGGCGGTTGCGTCGGGGATTGTATTCCTTCGCGATGTATGGAATCAAGGAACCGCTCAATCGTCTGCGTCGCTTTGGAAACCAAGGCGTAGTTCGGATCTCCACGCCGAACGATGCTCCCTACCTGGACCTGCGCAACAAATATACCGAGATTGAGTATTGTCTTGGACCATGAGGATCTCGCTTCGGTTAACGTGCGGTGTTGTTTCAGCATTGAAAGGAGGATAATCCCTGCAGCCGGGAGGCCGAAGTGGGCGATCTGACAGAGGTTTAGTTTAGTACTTAAAGGTTCGAAAAGACAGAAATACCTTCCAAACGAGCCCAGTTCCAGAGTTGACCAGTTGGTCTCGTAAGAGAATCGCGTCCACTACAAGAGAGAGCATTTGATCCGAGATGTCGAGTATAGATGGATCGGGCTCGGTCAGGGTATCGAGAAACGACAATTGAAGTAGGAAGAGAACATGTAGTTGGTCCAGGCGTATGCTAGCTAGAAGGTCGCGTTCGAATGCATCTCCAGAGCATTCTTTCAAAGAACCCGAAAGATGGAAGTGAGGGGGTAGGTGTGCCCATTGAGTTTCGGCTTTCTGCCGAATGATGCTATGTATGTCACACTAGGATGAGCCAGTGTATCCCACATGATAGAGCTCTAACTTACCTAGCTTTCTGGCTGAAATTGTCGCGCTGCTTTGATCGAAGCAATTCGAGGACGTCTTCTTTCAGCGCGGAGCAAAGGGTCGCCCACCGAATACCTGACCTATAGCAGATCGGTGTATCTGTTTTCCATCTGACGACCTCGTCCTCAACGTGTGAAGTGTTCGAAACCTGATCCGAACTTGTTGGTGACAAAGGCACTTGAAAGTGACAGAACCGCTTGCTCATCCGAGGTGGCCGACCAAGGAATATAGCAATATTCTTGTCGGCAGAGTATGTGGTGGCCCAAGCTGTCTTTCGCAATTCCGCAAGGAAAGTGGGAATTGGTGGCTTGGTTTTGTCGACATTCTCATGGTAGCCGAGTGCGAACATGGACGACACAACATCTCCAAGCCTACTCCATGAATGATAGCCTTGATTATCGATGAGCTGCAAGTTTTTCAGATGAAAATAAGGGAGAATTCTTACTTTGGTCCCCGTCAACATGGGTGTGTACAATACAGTTCTCATACTGTAGAACCAGTTGTAGGTCGTTCAAGCAATCCAGGGAGAGCGCAATATCTAATGCGAGATCGCTCAATTTTGTAGATAGCTTCCGAAGCATGAATTGGTCCTTTTCGGTTTTGAACAATGGTGGGAAAAATGATATATCGATCGTTGCTCGGGTCACAGCAGAGAGGAAGATGCCTAGACTTTCCCATCGGAATTTCTGATCGAGGAACTGGGCAGAGAAACTTTCCATATCTGAAGTGCTGCTAAACTGCAAAGGTTCCCGGGAATTTTGTGTTAGACGTTGGGCATATGCCAAATGCCAATTGTCTTCCTGTGAGAAGGACGTGAATAGGCGCGTCATGTTTTCAGTACACTTCTCGGTAAAAGGCTCTGCTAGAGCTAGATTCGCACCGGTTGCCAGCCAAAAAGTAACAAAATCCTTCATGGCGGCTAGAGGAAATGTGTTTAGCAGCTGCCGGAGGACATCCGCGCCTTGGATTAACAAGATATTCTCGCCAGTGGATTGCGACTGCATCAACATAGTCATGTCCTCGGAAGCATGGTAGGTTTCAGACGCATGATAGTCTTGCGGGGAAATTTCGTTGAAAATAGCGACATGGCTGGAGGATCCCAGAAAGCCGGGGTTTGGATAGGGATTACTCCTTGCGGTGAAAGATGGTTGGGCCGGAGGTAGCCGGCTGCAGAGTCAATAAGCATGTGGAAAGAAAGCAAATATGATTACATGTATGAATCACATATCACATACGTAGGAGACTGCACGGGTGTAGAGCTCGACACTGTTCTTCTCTTGAACGGCGTCGTTCGGTAAATGCATATTCCAGCTCTGTCGTTACTTGCACATCGAGTACATGCCGGTCGTTTATGATCACAGGCGACTTTTGCTTTTCTGCAAGCTTCACATGCTGCCAGTCTGGAAGCCATTATGTGGTGAAGATGGATTCCGGAGCGGAGCGGAGAAGAGGGAATCGTCGGAGTGATCTCTAATTTCCCCGATAACATTCTACCTACTTGTATCTACCTATAGGTACTTGTAGTCATGGATAATACACAGGTGACATACTGACAACTTCCTTTTAACAGATCTAGAGGCTCAATACATTATGGAAGTAATAATTAACTCTTTGGTTATTGTCAAGTTAAGTGAGGTAGTCAGGTGCGTGTGTATAACTCGTCCACTATTCTGCCAACACTTCCAAATTTAACCCCACTATCACCACGCGTCAGACCCAGGAGTTTTTTGAAGCTCCCCCCACCACCCTATACACCTATACAGTCCCAATGCGAGGACCTGATCTACAATAACACAAAACTCCCGATTCGGAAATTTATCCCCCAGATACCCTACTCTACTTCCCGAATCCCAAAATGTCACAAAACACAGACGGAGCTCCCCAAGGCTCAAGTGCGTCCCCCATCCCCAACACCAAGATGACAGCGCAGCGCGGGCTTCCGGCTCTACATGCCATATGGAGATGAATTCGCAGCTAACCAACCTGAAACCAGTCAACCTCGCCTCTCTTTCCGTCCCTCAGCTCCGCGCCCTCCAAACCCGTCTCACCTCCGAATTGGAACATCTGACCACCTCGCACACGAAGCTGCGCGCCGCCCAAGCCAAGTTCCGCGATTGTGTGCGCTCAATCAATGATGGCGTGACTGGGAATGCGAAGAAGGGAACCGATGGCCGCGATGAGATCCTCGTGCCCCTCACCAGTTCGCTGTACGTCAAGGGCCGATTGACGGATCGCGAAAAGGTGCTTGTTGATGTCGGAACTGGATTCTATGTTGAGAAGGTACGTGCCGACGGGGATATGGTTGGGTTTATTGGGCTGACGGATTTGCTTTTGTCCAGACTGCGCCTAAGGCGGTTGCGTTCTATGATGATAAGGTCAAGGGCCTGGATGCGAACTTGCAGGAGTTGGAGAAGATTGTACAGACCAAGAGCTCGCAACTGCGCATTGTGGAAGAGAGTGAGTTGGCACCCTTTTCCCCAAATAATAGGAGGCAGGAGTCCTATTGCCTTCCAAGGTTGCCAAGCCCTTTTTTGTCATATGCTAACCTCTCTACAGCATTGAGGCAGAAGATGCTCTCAGAGGGTGCTCCTCAGGCTGCTGCGGGCTAAACTCAACCTATATGGTCCGAATAGTTCAACATGATTTACCCTAGAGAAATCGAAATCATATACAGGAACAAACAAACTGAAGATGAATTATAAGAAGAAGAACGAGAAGAAGAAAAATGGACCGATCCAGGGCTGAAGAGGCTCTACGGTATTGGGAAACCAGGAATAACTTCAAATATGAATTGGAACTATTAATGCTACATACCTAACGATCCATGCTCGATAAGCAAGCTGGACGGTAGCTAGGTAGTGTTGCCTTTTTTTTGGCATTTTGTCGTTTTACTCCTTTTTTTTTTTAGCTTTTCCTTCTTTTTTTCTTTGAGTTGGCTCTTGTGGTCCCATGAGGTTTGACAACATTGGGACGATTGTGCTGACATCGACTAGAACAGACTTCCGAGATCAGTCTCAAGAACATCTGGCATCTCAGCACCTGGGTTCCCCAGCATCCGCGCAACCTGCTGGACAGTGCTCATGAAAAGGCCCAGCTGCTTCTCCTCTTCCACCTTTCGGATTTCGGCCTCCTTGCGGAGTTCATCGTCCGTCTTCGGCTTGTTCGTTTGTTCCTCACCATCCCCCGGTGGGGGAAAGAACACCGATAGACACGCATCTTTGGAAACGTCGAGGACCTTGATATCAGCCTGTTCACCCAGTATATCGTCCCAGTCAGGATTGAACAATGATGCACCCCAGGACACTTTGGGGTTCATCGACCATTGACCAGTCGCGTACGTGTACTCGTCGAAGCGGGCGAGCTCGAATACATGCGGCGAGTCTTTGACTTGGAGCTGAATTGTGGCCTTCTCGACGAAGCGCTTAACTGGCGAACCATAGGAGAACCTCGCCTTGCGCTTGGGGGCAGATCCAATGCTCTTTGCGTTTGCGTTCCATTGGAAACCAATCGAACGCATAAATTTGTCTAGATCTGGGGGGATCTCATTTTCAGGGCAAAGTTCAAGAGCCTTCACTTCAAGTTGCCAGTCGGACCTATATTCAAACTCAGCTTCCAGTAAAATTCGAAAAGGATCCGGAATAAACAAACCTTTCAAAGTCAATCATGCTGATCTGCATTGGCATCTGGCGATCAACAGGAGCACCAATTTGCTTTGATTTGAAACAACGGATTCCGTTGACTTCAAACTCCTGTGAGCCAACAGGAAGAGAGAATTTGGCCTCCACGCGGATCACCGAATCATTGTTCACTTGGTACTCAAAGTTGGCGGAATATCTAGGCATCAGGCTCAACAGCGATTTGATCTTGGCTTTACCCCAGGGCTTAAGGAAGGTTGATTCCATGACTCGGTTGAAGATCTCATCTTGCTGCAACCGGATTCTAAGAGATAAGTCAGTCAGCAAACCATCAGATTCCAGCGGAGGGTGATAACATACCCTGGGAGCAAACGGCCCTCGGTGTTCATGTGGGTAAGCATCTCGCGAAACTCCGAAAACTCATAGGAAGTGCCATCTTTCGGCTTGCGCCACTGTTGCAACGCGAACGAACCGAACTTTGCTCGCATTTGCAGGAATCCCCGGAATTGAGGAATCACATGCAGTGCTTTCCTCAGGCGGGTGGTGACCATGTTCTTGTTGCTGAGCTTGATCTCATCTGCAGTGGTCTTCCAGTTTGCGGCCACGTCTGGGGCCAGTTCCGGTCCACAGATGACAGGTGTCGAGAGCCCACCAGACTTCTGCAGGAGCACATGAGTTCTCATAAGCTCCGCCCGGGGTGCCGCAACAAGGAACACCTTGATTTCCGTCTCGTGCTGGACCATCAGCCTCTCCCACAGCTCTCGGAACCGAGATGCAATGATGCACATATCCCGCTCATTATTTCCAGACATGAAAAGGTAGTCCGGGATACCAGGCTTGATGTAGATGTTCACGTCATATTTCAAGCGAATGAAATCGAGGAGCTCGCGCCGAGCAGTAATAAAGTAGTTCAGTGACGGGCCATCCGGGGGCCAGAGGAAGCCAAGCTGTAGAATCCAGGGTTGGTTAGTCTTCGGAAGGTTCAAAAACAAACTAGGGCTGGCAGAGCGCTATACATACCGTGTAGTCCGTAGCAATTTTCGGTGGCTTTCGCATCTCGGACAATCTTTCCTGGTGGCTTTCCCGTATCCGGGCATGGGCAACTTTCGTATTCGAATGCGCGTGTATCTTGGTCCAACGCGATGATGCCTTAGCCGAAGTCCGCTGCTGCATTAACCGATTCAACATATCCTGAAGCATATTCTGGGCCGCCAAAACCTGATTTTGTCGGCCCCAGATGTGAACCAGCTTTATTGTTATCAGTATATTGAGCCTCTCAAATCTTGGGGAAATTTAGTTGGAACTGACTTTGGCGTTTCCCGCGCTCATCCTCACATAGGCATCTGTCTCCTCGATAATCGTCTGGCGAAAGTCGATCTTGGAAGCTTCTCCGGAAGTCACTTGTCGAATCCTTGAGTGTCTGGGTTAGTTGTAAGACCAATCAGTGCGAATTTTTATGTACTCACTTTTCTTGAAACACTTGGCACTCATAAGGTAAACGATACGAAGCTATATGGCCGTCAATTATGGGCTCAAGGTTGATGTGAGCACACTTACCATCTGGAGAAAGGCCTTTGCGCCACTTTGCCTTGGAATAAGAGTCATTTTGCCCTGGTGCGTTAGGTGGATTCTTAGCTCTGTGTTGCGACTGAGTCGAAGCAGAACTGCCTTTCTTTGACTGAAACCGTGCTCGTGGTGTGTCAGTATGAGCCCCCCCTGCGAGGGGTACGTTGACCTGATTTGGGATTACGCGACGCATAATGCGGCTCTGGTGCGGACGTATTGGAATTGCTGGTGTTAGGCCCACGGTCGTTCAAGACTGGCCCCTCCGGTGCCTGAGCTTGACCTGTTCTGGCCCCAGTGATAACTGCCTGGGTTGGAAAGACGCTTTGGTTCGGAATCAGTGGTCGCGTGGGTGGAGGAGGTACACTTGGGAGGGATCGACCAGTTACGGGCACTGTAGAAGTCGGGGGTGCGGCGGATAGTCAACTGGAGGGGAACCATAGTTCGTATCCTCGAAGCCATCCTCATCATCATGATCTGGACTCCTCTTATCCGCGTGCTCGTTATTGTCCTGGCGATAGATGGTTCCCCGCCAAAGTCTGGACCGGGGCCGTAGTTAGGCAGTTCCCATGCTAGCTAAGTCAGTACATACAACCATAATTGAAACAAGGCTTTTCTCTCACATTTGGCGTTGAGACGCTCCCAGCTGGTAGTATTGATTAGTGAAATGCACTTCTAAGTACGTGTGTGAGATATACTTACTCCTCTTCGTAGGACTCGGGTAGAGCCGCCATTTCAGCGGGATCAGACACCCACCGGCGCTCGAAAACTAGACGTACCGTTTGGAATGAGCCAAGCCGAAAGAGGGCGACACAGTTATCTCAGGAAAATTAAACGGGCAAGTGAAAGAAAAAGAAGATGTGCCGAGGCGCTCCTTGTCGGCAAAGGGACGTTTGAACTGAGAAAAGATCGATTGTCCGGGCGACTGGATGCACCACCTAAGGAAGGTCACCCAGGTGGAAAAAAAGAAAGATAAACGATTGAGACGGATAATGGAGTGCCAGAGGAGACGCAGAGAAATGAGGCTGAAGTGTAGTTTCTTAAATGGGAACTATCAAAGGAGTAGTAAGAGCATCCACCCATTCTTGCCTAGGAACCCTGGAACCGCGGTTATGGATTACATACACGTATGCTGAGATCTCCCGAGGTCGTCACTGCCCATATGTCTATATACCTAGGCCTAGGCAATATGGAACTGGTCGAATATGTCATTTTCTCGGTGCAATGAAAAGATACTGATAGTTCAGAACACCCCGAAACCAATCTTCCTACGATAATCATGGACCTTGTTCTTGTAGACATCTTGACTGTGGAAGACAAAGTGCGCACGCTGCATTGTATACTGAGGTTAAAGTGACACAATCCGTCTATAGTGGCGAGAAATCAAGTTAAAACAGATCCAGTAAGGAGTATATAGATCTGATCCACTAGAATGTCGTTAAATGTCGTTGGATGTTAGGGTTTCGGAGTAATATTGTTCCGGTATCTCCGGATGACCGTATATCTATCCCGCAATCACGAAGCATCTGACAAGTTGTGGTCAAGCACCCCTTTTTTTTTGGTAACAATTCAAATGAATAGGGAAGTTGTCGTATAGCACATGTAGCTATACATTAAGCCCAGCTCTTCAAAATGTTTTAGAATTGTCTAGAATGTTAGTAGGTAAATTCAAGAAAATGTGACATTTAGGCGGACATAGCGAGCAATTCACAGCATACTGTACTATATAGGCTAGAGGTTTTAGCACACTACACCCATAGTGAAGGTCAACTGGACAATCCGATGGATTCATAACATGCACTGTGCACATGTGGTTTATACCTACCCAGCTGCAATATAATAGAGGTAGATGGTTTTTATTGGCCAGACCTCCCTACCGGACTAAACCCGAAAGGGACGAAAAGTGGACAACGCGTCAAGCGCGATTTCTCCTTCATTGCAACTTCGGTTCAACCACATCTCTCGCACCCCCAATGAGCGATAGCGATCCAGACTCTTCGCCTCAGAGGCGCAGTGCCCGTGAGCGCGCCCAATGGATGACCAAGGGAGCTCTGGTTCGAGACGACTCCGATGATGAGCTAGGCGTCGAGGACCTTCCATGGAACTGGATTTACGACACAAATGAAGAGACTACTCAGGAAACTGAGAACAACGATGATACCCCGGCGAAACGTAGTCGAAGACGATCCTCCCGTCCCGCCCGCAAAAAACGCAAAATTGTCGGTGCACAGATGGGTCAATTCCAATGCAAAGTGGGCGATGTGATTCTTCTAAAATCCCCCGAAGCTGGAAAGGACTGGGTTGGCATCGTTACAGAGTTTTTGGAAGAGGAGGATGAGGACGAAGAAGACGAAATTGTCAAATCTGCCAATATTATGTGGTTCGCATCCCCCGACGAATTCATGGGCACGAGGAACAAGCGCCGGACCGACGCCTTGCCCAATGAACAGTACATCACACTCGATTTCAATAGCAACCCCTTGACTTCAATCAGCGGCAAAGGGACGGTCATGTCTCAGAGCGCCTTCAATGCGAAATACCCGAATGGACCTCCAAAGAACAAAACCGAATTGGCGGAATACCACAAGTGCATTGTTTGTCGACGAGGCGTGAACCAGGTTCAAGGGCGGTATACCGAAGAGTTTATCTGGGAGCAAGTGTACGATGAAGACAACATCTACAATCTGATCAATTGGGTCAGGGACGGCTTGAAGGCTTCCAGGAAACGCAAGGTAGCGGATGATGAAGTGAGTTGAACCAGTTCGTTCCAATTGCAGAGGCAGTGCTGATGAGCCATCGCAGTATGTCGACACCAAAGAGACCACGGCACCTACGACCCCGAGAAAGAGGCAGCGACTAGCAGCCACGAATGCCACGCCACAATCACAGCGCAAGAAGTCCCTAATGACTCCCACCCACAAACGGTAGGAAACGGCGGAAATGAATATTCCTCATGAAACGCGACTGACATGTATCAGGATTGTTGTGAAAAAGCCACTCGAGTTTACCCCCCTGGGCACCCGTGTCCTCTCACCCACGCATTTCGACTCTCCTTACCGTCAAGCTCGGAATTTGCTACATGTCTCCACTGTTCCAGACTCATTGCCGTGCCGAAAGACTGAGTTCAACACTGTATACAACCACCTTAGCGCTGCGATCATGGAAGGCACAGGGGCCTGTATCTATATCTCCGGTACCCCAGGCACTGGCAAGACTGCCACGGTACGTGAGGTGGTTGCACAGCTAAACGCTGCCGTGCATGAAGAAGAGATGGACGATTTCATCTTTGTCGAGATTAACGGCATGAAAGTCACCGACCCGCATCAATCCTACTCCTTACTATGGGAAGCCTTGAAGGGCGACCGAGTCTCACCTTCCCATGCATTGGATCTTCTCGAAAGAGAATTCTCAAATCCCTCCCCTCGTCGGGTCTCCTGTGTTGTGCTCATGGATGAACTGGATCAACTTGTCACAAAGAATCAGTCCGTCATGTATAACTTCTTCAACTGGCCTGCTCTCCGCCACTCGCGCCTCATTGTCCTGGCTGTCGCAAACACCATGGATCTTCCCGAAAGAACCCTAAGCAATAAAATCTCCAGTCGTCTCGGTTTAACCCGTATCACATTCCCCGGATACCGTCACACAGATCTAATGGAAATTATCAGCACCCGCTTGGCAAACGTACCGGGCAACATCGTTGACCCAGACGCCGTCCAATTTGCAAGTCGCAAAGTAGCCGCCGTCAGCGGTGATGCTCGACGAGCTTTGGATATCTGTCGACGAGCTGTTGAAATCGCCGAACAAGCAGCCGACGAGGCTGCTGCCGCAGATGAGGCCAAAGACGAGACAGAATCATTGCCTCCTACGCCCAGCAAAACCCCCGCTCGGCGCAATAATGCTATCGCAGCCAAAGAAGCCGGGACATCAGCCGTGGCTAAACCTCCTGCAAAGGGCCAACCGGGGCGCGTTACTATCGCCACTATTAAGCAAGCCATTCACGAAGCTACGTCAACTCCACTCCAGCAATCCTTGCGCTGCCTTCCGCTATCAGGAAAGCTCTTCCTCGCCGCCCTGCTAGCTCGCGTCCACCGGACAGGCATTTCAGAATCTACATTCGGCGACGTCCTCGATGAAGCCCGTCGCATCGCCGATGCAGCCGTCGCCGTTGCTGGAGCCGCTGGTGCCGGAGTCAAAGATTTCTTGCTGGGTGGAGGCCCCAGTGCTCGCGTGCGGAGCCTAGGCCATGCGGCCATGTCGCTCATGAACTCAGGTGTCCTGGCGCTGGAGCAAGGCTCTGGCTCTAAAAGCGTACTTGGGGGTACTACGATTCCCACTCGCGGCGATCGCAGTAGTAAAGTTCGACTTAGGGTTGCAGCGGAAGACGTCAGGTCGGCTTTCAGGGAGGATGCTGAGGCTAAAGGCTTTGGTTTGGGAATTGAGCAGTAATGGTGAGGGTTTTGCCTTTAGGAGTTTTGATACGATACGCATTATCTGGAGTTAGTGTAATATCGCACAATAGTTTGCATACGATACCCTTTCAGTCGAGCTGTGTCTTGCGCTCTAGATCGTAAAGGCTAATTGTACGTGTTGTCCATCTGGTCGATTGCCAAGGGTATCATTTGGCTCAATTGGGTTTGTATCATACAAAACGTTAAGGCTCTTTTCTCAGAGACATGGAACGAACCTTTCCGAGGAAATTTCTCCCGATACATGTTTGAATATTTTAAAACCAAGGGCCTTCCACAGACCGCGCTTAACTCCACATAGTGCCAAAAAGAACTTGATGGCAAAAAAGAAAATGAGTGCAGGGTATTGAGAAATCGGAACAGAGGATACGAATGCCAGTGATGCTGGTCCTCCCTCTAGTACCGCTGTCTACCGAGAGTCGGGGCCCAAGTCAGAGGGTGAGTCTCGGGGGTAGCTTGTTCGTCCTGCTTCCAGATCTTAATGGTCTTATCAGCTTCGCCAGTGATAAGACGCAAACCAGTACGATCAAAGGTAGAAGCCATGATGCCGGCTTCGGCTTCGAGAGAGCCGGGCTGGGCAGTAGTCTCCATAGATTGGAAGCGATGACCAGTCTTCCAGTCCCAGAAGGACATGGAACCGTCGTCACCACCGGAGAAGAGAACGTTCTCGTCGTTGACGGCGAGAGAGTTGATGACCGAATTCTGGCCCTCAAAATTTTGCATGAAATCGCCCTTAGGGCACATCCACTGCTTGATGCTACCGGTACTGGCACTGGCAAACGTGAACTCAGTGGGGTGGATGGCCAGGTTGCGAACACCCTTCTTGTGGTGCGTCAAGACACCCATGCTCTTACCAGCCGCCAAATCCCACAACCGGACTGTTGAGTCCAGCGATCCTGAGATAATCTGAGGGTCGGCGTCTTGGCACTTGATGTCGGCAACAGTGCCTTTGTGTCCGCTGAGAACGTGTATGTTGCTTCGCGTCCGCATATCCCAAACTCGGCACACACCATCACGACCACCCGTGACTAACAGATCGAGACGAGGGTGAAGGGCCAGTGTGTACACTCCGCTAAGATGACCGTGGTAGTGACGAATGACCTTGTTGGTCTCCAGATCCCAACACTTGACCATCTTATCCTCACCGCACGAGAAAAGGTACGGATGCCGGGGTGACACTGCCAAGCCACGGACGGTGGAGATGTGACCGGTGAGAGTAAGTCGCAATGCGCCCGTCGCCAGATTCCAAATCTTGATTGTCCGATCTCCTGCTCCACTAGCAAACCACTGGTTGTTCGGTTCCACTGCCAAAGACCGCACCCATCCCAAGTGTCCCGAAATAACGCGCATCAGCTTCCAAGGCGCGTGCCACTCAGGCCGCTGTTGCTTGGTGGCCGACGGTCTCTGGACCAAACTCTTAGGTTGGTCTCCAGCTGCTGCTCCCGCTCCCGCTCCGGCGCCCGATGGCCGCCTCACAAGTGACATGGATGAGCCACTGCCGTCTGCGGGTGCCTGCGCCTGAATCTTCGGTCGTTTTGTTCGGCCTGCTGTAGCCTTCGCCTGTTTCTCTGCGAGAGCTCGGGGGAGCTCGGTAATATCTGCGTACTCCGCCTTCCGTCGGTAGGAAATGCCGATTGAGCTGTCTGTAAGAGTTGTGGGTGTGACCATCAGGTATTCGGTACCAAAGAGTTCGGCAGTCCGCTTTGCGGACATGCGCACGGCGTCATCGGCGGACTGGGGTGAATTGTATTCCATTGTAGTTGCGCAAGGTATTGATGTGGGAGGGTGAGATGGAACGGTGTGCTCTGAAGGAGAAGGAGCTCCAAATAATCACGATCTGATGGGGCGCGTGATAGAAAAAAAAGCCTGCGGCAGGTTCGTGACTGCAACCGAGTCCGGAGATTCAGCCTAGAAACCAGGCTTGTAAGCGCAATTAATTGGGGACCGAAACTGTGTCTCTAATTGGTGCGAGACAAAGTATGGTTGAAGATGATACAAAGACGTGCATGAATCTTTGGATCGAAGTTGCAGCGGGTGTTCATGCCTCAGGCGCCATCCTTGACCAACATTATGTCTGGCCCAAAAGGGCGGTGAGGCTGGGCGGTGGACTGTACAATTCGGAGGATTTTCCAAGGTCGGAACTCAAAGACATCGAATCTACCTACAACCTTGGAATGTATATAAGACTTCATTGAAAGATATCTGAATATTCATTTCCTTCGTCAGTTGTCCTATTCTGAGAACTGCGGTGTACCTTTCGTATGCGGGTCCAATGCAGAGGTACAAATTGAATCACCTCACATGGAATCACAATATATGAGAACAACTGTAAATACTCTGTGCATTTAATGGACTGAGTCTCTCAAGTATGTGTGTAGCTCTCTTTCTTCCCAAACTATATTCATCCAGCTATGGCGATGTTGTAGAATGTCCAGCTGTGTAGGGCAGGGCAGGTGCCTGCGCGCACAATATTGCTGACTCAGCTGCCCTGGAGGGCTTATCGCAGCTCTTATCGCAATATCACTCTTCCTCCTCCAAAGTCGTCATGGATCCCGATCAGAAGTTCGCCCTGCACGAGGCTGCCCGGGAAGGAAGAAGTGGGAGCTTGATCCTTCTTTCTATAATATAATATACTAATATAGCTTCTTAGATGAGGTTGTTGAGTCGTTGCTCAATGTGAGTCGTGCTCCACCTAGGACCGAGGCTGCCCCGCAAGAACAAGCTGGCGCTGGTACTGCTCGGTCTCCGAGAATGAGGCTAATTATGGGAACAGGCAAACCCAAAATCTGCGTTCGTGAAAGATGATGATGAGCGTCTTCCGATCCACTGGGCTGCAGCCTACAACCGAGTCCCGGTTGTGGAATTGCTAGTCGCTATGAAGGGTTTCGACCCAGACGTAGAAGTGAGCATCGCTATTCTATTTTCGAAGAGGATCCCCGCGCCTTTCAACGCCGACTGGCCACTGTTATATAACCTTGCTAACTAGCATAGGATGGATCCGGTTGGACGCCTCTTATGATTGCAGCTAGCCTAAAAGATGCCGCAGGCGACGCGACTATCGACCTATTACTGCGAAAAGGAGCTGATGTCTCTATCAAAAGTAACTCCGGACAGGTCAGACTTTCGATACAAGGACAAGGTATTGGATGTACATGGACTTACTATCTAATAGAATGCGCTGCATTTCGCAAGTTCCAAAGCCAATATTTCCACCGTCCGCACCCTGCTTGCCAATAATTGTAGTGCTAGAGTCAAGGACAGACGTGGCCAACTTCCTCTTCACAGAGCAGCCGCAGTGGGATCTGTGCCTATTTTGAAGACCCTCTTGGAAGAGGGTAAGAGCCCTGTCAACGCAACGGATGGGGACGGATTCACAGCGCTTCACCACGCTATCTCTGAGGGACATGGACCTGCCGCAATCTTATTGTTGAAGTCCGGAGCGGAAGCGGAAAAGAGAGACAGTGAAGGTAGACTGGCAATTGAGCTAGTCCCAGATGACAAGGTAAGCCCGCCAGAATTAGGTATCCATTTAGATCAGAATGGCTAATCCTTATCATGTCAATTCAGGTCAAGCAATACATCTTACAGACAGCAGAGAGAGAAGGAATTGAACTCCCTTGATCTAGAGCATCTTTAACCCTGGAGATCTCCGCCTGGAGGATAGGCCTGGACAGACATGCCTCGGTCCGGCTTCCCCGCACCAAAATTCCCAACTTTCAAACTTGTATGATCTTGGATTGTCTATTCCAGCTTTTAGTGAACAGGTCAATACATTCAAAATTTGCCAAATAGCCTTCTTCAATTGTTGCCAAAAAGATCAGGGCACGGAGTAATCTCGGGCTATTTCTTGCAGCTTTGAAACACGTTGCATGAGACATGCATAAAAGATAATTGACCTCGGTAACCCGATGATTGAGTAATCGGTACTATTGTTTGGCCTGCGGGGAATGTTTGGCCTGCGGGGAAGGTTTGGGTTATATCCCCAGCTGCGCTGCACCACGATTTACTTGTCTCTCGAATGGTACATGCTCAACCTGATCCAGAATGTCGGCATCAATTAACACACGTCTCCCTGTGGGAAACAAAGACTTCACCAATGCAACTGTTGTCATTATTGGTGCTGGCATATCGGGTATACTGAGTCCTCCAAGGCCAATAAATCTCACTAACCTTTCATCAAGGGATGTGCATGGCGATTGATTTGGTCAAACGGAACAAAACTCACAATTTTGTTATCCTCGAGAGAAGTAGCAGCGTGGGTGGAACTTGGAATGACAACAAGTATCCCGGCTGCTGTTGTGACGGTAAGAAATACTCGACCTACGCAGTGGCAAAAACTGATGGATTCTAGTCTTCAGCTCGCTCTATAGCTATTCCTTTGAACAGAATCCTGATTGGTCAAGAGAGTATCCCGGACAGGAAGAGATACACGTTAGTAATATGCGTGACCCTCCAGGCCTAGACCTGTCTTGCTATATACGAGCCATTGCTGATTATTGTGCGTCGACCAGGCGTATCTCGTTGGAGTTGCAGAAAAATATGGACTCTACAAGCATATTCGATTCAACTCCACAGTAGAGGAGGCCCGGTGGGATGACACCGAGTCCAAGTGGAGGACGAGCGTCGTGCTATCAGGGCAGAAAGACAGCGAGTTCTCAAGCTCCTACGTCTTGAATTCCGATTTTCTTGTCTCTGCTGTCGGGCAACTCAATTTACCCCGAACACCTGACATCCCAGGCCTGGGGGATTTTCAAGGGAAGATGATGCACTCCGCTCGGTGGGATTGGAGTTATGACATGACAGGAAAGCGGATCGCAATCATTGGCAGCGGTGCGCACTGACGAAAGAGACAAAGAGCCCACCTACAAGCTTGTATACTGACTCATTTACAGGAGCAACTGCTGCCCAGATCGCCCCTGAAGTTGCTCGGGTTGCTTCTCATCTCACTATCTATCAGCGGACGCCAAACTGGGTCATTCCACGCCTAGATCAACCAGTATCTACCCTTCAAAAGACCCTGTTCAAATGGGTTCCACCCCTCCACTGGCGCAAGCGAGCCCTTCAAATGAAGTTCCGTGAAGACTTTTTTGCCGCTATCACAGACGGAGATTCGGACCTTTCTCATATGCTTCGGACCTTATGTACCAATGCGATTAAATCGCAACTGCCTGACCGACCAGACCTGTGGGATACGCTGACACCCAGTTATGCGCCGGGATGCAAGCGAGTCATCATTACGGATGATTATTATCCCACTCTTGCCCGTGACAATGTCCACTTGGAGACGCGGGGCATCACATGTATTACAGACTCTGGTATCAAGGTCGACGAAGAAGAGCAAGAACACGACCTTATCGTTCTTGCTACGGGCTTTAAAACTGTGGAATTCATGCATCCCATCCGGATTTATGGCACAAATGGCCGACCCTTGGAGGATATCTGGAGAAATGGAGCAACGGCATTGAACGGTGTTACAGTCGAGGATTTGCCCAACTTTGGAATGTTCTATGGTCCCAACACAAATCTGGGTGAGGAATACCCTGTTCCAGATAACACCATATTTCAATCGTTCTAACTGATCAAAAGGGCACAACTCCATCATCCTCATGATCGAAGCACAGTCACGATATCTGAACATCCTAGTTGGGGAAGTAATGCAAGCCCGCCAACAAGGAAAGACACTGGCTCTCAAGCCAGAGCCGGGTGCGTTGAAAAGCTACAACGACAGGATCCAAGCTATTCTACGGCGTACCAGCTTTGCCGACCCAAATTGCAACAGCTGGTATAAGAGAGATGACGGGGTGATCACCAATAATTGGTGTGGGACTGTGATGGATTACCAACATGAACTTTCAAAGGTGCAGTGGCAGCATTATATTGCCGAGGGAACTGGTAAGGACCGTGTCATGAACAAGGCTGCTACGAAAGTGGGTCATGCTCAGGAGGAGATATTGTTAAGCAATTCTTCGTTGCTTGCTGGGGCTATTGGTGTTTTATCGGCGACAGGTTACTTTGTCGCTCGGTCGAGACGACTCAATGCACACTGAAACAACTTTGCATATTGTTATAGGTCCATTTCACCAAGACCATTATTCTCAACTCCTCTTCCTATTCCGCTGTCGAATCAAATGCCCATATTTATAGAAAACAAATGGAACAGGTGTCATCAACGCGGAGATACATCCTAACAACGTGAGAGACCAATGCACACCCAAATTGCTGTACATTGGGATTGACACGACGACCATAGCACCAGCAGCGATGTAGCGGAAGAAAGTGGCGCTCACCAGGGCACTGGCTGCGAAAAGTTCATACGTGTCGATAAGATACTGGTATGTGGATATGAATATTCCCTGGACGGAGAATCCGAAAGCCACCGAGGCTATCAAAGGCGACCAGTAGGAAACCGAGGGATAGCTAGTCCAACCCATCCAGAAGAGAGAGATTGGCAACCAAGGAGCACCGTACATAGCGAACCAAAGCCGCTCCTCGGGTGGAAGGCTCTTTTCCCCGTTTGCAATGGCTTTCGACAGTCTCTTCTTGTATGCGAAGTAGATATGAGGCACTAGGGCAAATGCAAATAGGAAACCTACGTTCATGCCAATGAACGTCAATCCCACGGACCCCTGGTCGAAGCCATATGTGTCGCCAAAGATGAACTCGTAGCCCGTCAAGAATCCAAAAAGAACAATATAGACGACGACGAGATAAATGGTAAAGAGCGCCACCATGATTTCTCTAAAGAACAATTCGAAAGGCCGGGAGCAGCTGTGCATCAGCCGAGTGAAGAGCGATGTCTGTCGTAGTTCGAACTCCGCCACAAAACGCTGATCACCCGTGATTTCACGCAGGTGTTTGGCTTTCCATTCCAGGAGTACTGGTCCATAGGTTTCTGGAACAAAAAGGAAGATGGCAGATGTCACTAGCGCAGCCATGATCATCGTGCACCATTCAGTCCAGCGCCAGCTGATGTGCGTGCTTTGGCCAATAAAGGCCCCAACCATCGGGGCAAGAAAAGGCCCGAGGAATGACAGTGTGCAGCAAATTGGAAAGGCATATGTTCGCTCGATGGGGTCAAAAATGTCGGACATACTGCCGCCAAAGGTGGTCATTGGCGTACAGCCAAACAGTCCGGCCAGGAAACGAAAAGCAAGTTGGGCTCCAAGATTTGGTGCAAGCCCTGATGCCATTGTAAAAATCATAAGAATGAACAATGTAACGATGTAAACCGGGTTTCGTCCAACAGTCTCAGAAAAGGGTGCAGCCACAAGAGAGCCGACGCCAAAAGCAATCAGGAAAAGCGCTGTTGCTAGAGACTCGACGACCTCACTGACTCCATATTCCTCCTGTCCTTGTTTGATCACAGTCGAATCGATCGATGAAGCCCATCCGACCAGCATACCCGTAGTACCAACAATGCCCAGTGTCCGCCATTTCCGTCCCGTGGACCAGTTTTTGGGATTTAGTTGGTCATCGGGACCATCGAAGCCGACAATAAACACTGTATCTGTGTCGAGACGTTCAGAGGTTTCGGATACATTATGGGGTTTAACGCCGGGGACTGTCACTCTCTTGCCGTCGTGTAGCACGATTTTCGGTGTAGTATTTACCGAGCGGATGCCCTTCTCCAGTCTGGCATCATCGACATCCTCCAGGATATCGTTTGTCGGCTGTGCACGTTGATCACCCGTAGCGGCGTACAGACCGTGCAATTGAATGCTTTCTTGCAAGTCCTTGTGCATGCGTCGGTATTGTCGGAAAGACTGCATGGTCGCGGGGTGCTCCAGGGCAGATCCAAGGACGGAGAAAAACAGAATTTAGAAAGAAAGTAGTAGTTTGAGCAAATCTTTTTATCTTCACTACTGATTTAGATTATTGCTTTTCTTTGTGGTGCAGACTTTATATATACTTCTACTTCCGTTCCCTTTTCCGTTTTACCCGACTTACCCGATATTTCCTACTTAGCCGTTCGGATTTTATACGAACCCAGATAAGGAAAGGAGAGTGCAGGTTATGCTAATTTCCAGGTTGAGTTAGAGCCAGATATCATTGCATGCTGCCTAAGTACATCAACGGACTGAGACTCTGTATAAACGCAATGCGGGGATCCTTTCAACCTTGAATTCAGGTTCTCATCTCTAATTTGATCTATTTATCTATCCCTAGGCGCTAGTTTTGCAATTAGCTAAAGATGGGAAGTTGTGCGTCTAGAAATTCATTCCAGTCAAAGTCAAAGTCATCAGGTAGAGACAAGTTTTCGGTCCCTCCCAGCCAAGAAGTGACGTCCAGGGCTTGCGGAGTGGATGAACTTCGCTCAGCCGTCCTTCCATCCCTTTGTTGCAAACTGTCTCTAAGAATAACCGAGTCCCGTTCTTTTTTCGTCTGGAAGAGACCAACGAGTGATTCTATTGTCTCCAGTGCCGTGTGGACGGTTGGAGTATTGTAAAGCCTGGTAATGGCCCTGAACGAACATAGCGCAGGGCCAATATGTGACAGCGACTCCCTTGTGTCAATAGCCAGCAAGATACAGATAAACTGAAACGGTAGGTTGGCAACATGCCACCACGGAGAGTGATCTTCAGCTAGTCGCATCGCGGCATCGAGGCCGCGGTTCCCGAGTCGCATGATGCGAACAAGAACGTCATTTGATATATTCACCGACAAAACTCGTAACCGACGATATATGGTGAGCGCCAAATTACTTTGCGAGAGAATCAAGGCATCATGGGAGAGTGTAAGGCCCTCAACGCGGGTCAGAGCCTCTTCGAAGACAGAAGCCTTATTGTCATGGTCTGGATCGAGCCATTCCGAGATTTGATACAGGCTTATGAGGTCTGTGGTAAAGTCGTCCTTCCGAGGCAAGGGAAGCTTGCATGAGACACCTCGTGGGGTCACGCGCGATCGGCCGTACTCATAGGAAATCCACGAATTTAGAACCGTGGCTACCCAAAAGAGCCGACGTCGGGTTTCTTCATTAAAACTGACATCTGCAGTGTCGGAATACACTAAAGATGCCAGTTCGAGGTCCTGATGAGCTCCGATGGCCTCGATGATGTGCATCGTAGAACAACTAGCCATCCACGATGCATGAGGGCAATTGGTGCTCCGGAGATATATTGTCCGTAATACCCAAGCACTCGCATGATGAAGGAGAGTTGTTTTTGTAGTTTTGGTTGTCTCGAGGTTTTCTTTTGCACACTGAACAAGTGCGCTTTCCGTCGGGTGTTGCTTGTGGCCCGAGTACAATGAGCCTAATGCTGCCACACCGCAGAGAATAGCGTCATAAGAAGCTACCGTCGTAGGATCATTCCATCTGCTGTCAATCTTTTGCTGCAAATCTTCAGGGTCCAGGACCCCATACACAGGATGTATCTTCTTCAAATAATGGTCGGCTAATTCTTCCATCTCCTCCCTTGGAATCAGATCCGCTATATTGCTGAAGGGCTCTAGAGGCTCATCCCGTGGACCCAGATTCCAGCTAAAGCCGTGCACCTTGGGTGCGCTCTGGGGATTCAATCTCATACCCAGGAGATGGGGGAAAGCAGTGCCTGAATTGGCTTCCATGTGTGCTTGGTTAGCGCCGGCTCGGTTGGAGAGCTTTTGAGCTTCCGGTTCGTCGCCCAGTGCCACCGAGGACTTAGAGGCGGCCTTTTTCTCCCGTAGAGAAGGCTTGAAGGTACACTGATACTCATATCGTACACAGCAAGTGCATGGCTCGTGACCGTCGCATTTCCGCTTTCGCAGTTTGCACATTTCGCATGCTCTTTTGGCCCGCTGTCTGGTCCTTATCCGACCAGAATTATCAGTATGCGAAGACATGACGTTGTGGTACACAGAACAAGATGATGATCGCTTTGTCCAGTTGATGTGATCATGTGGGTCCTGTCATAGTGGCCAATCAGCGGCAAGAACAACTATGTATCCATCCATCCCTCGGTACTATTCGTTGATATCCCGAATACCTTCAAGTTGGTTTCTGTCATGGGGGCAATCTTGTTGCCCTCGTCGGCTTATTTAGCATAGAATTCTCCCTCCACTCCGGATATCATCTCTACAAGGGTGAAACCATTCATGCCGGTGCCATTTGCACCATCGAGCGGAATGTATAAAACCAAGGCCACTCGGGCCCGGCCAATACTCTGCTGAAAAAGGGCGGAATATCCGATATCACAGGATATGTGGCGGCAATCAGCAGAAAGTACAATATAGTATTTGCTCATTCCATCTAATGTTGTATCAACAACTAATTAATATCTAATTCCGGCGGAATGTTAGCAGCACTCATCCGAGAAGTGACGATTACTATCATCTACAACGCGTCTCTAAGCTTTGATATCAAGGCTCAAATGTATCAACATACATGACTAGCTCTTTCACAATGCCGATTGCGACCATGTCACCACGACTTCTGCAGGATGTACCATCATTGCTTCCACCAACTTGACCGGTACATCAGCTACCTGGACATCGAGCGGGGGCCGGTAGCGCGTCGACTCCTATTTTAGCCGCCCCATTTGCACTTGTGGACGCTGCAGCTGCTGGCATGCTAGCCTTCTATGCCAAAAGTGAGGGTATTCAGTGGGAGAGGTTTAGAGTTCTAAGGAGTTGTGCGGAATGCATGTGAGTATGGGGAAGAACAAGTACAGTTTTTAGCTTTCGGTACATCTACGAAGTCGATCATCTTTTTTTTGGCCTTATATGCCAATGGAGCTATCTGAGTCCTTATCTTGTGATGAGAAACCTTTGAAATAGCGCATGAGATAGGTACTTAGAAATTCTGTCCATCCACCACCGTTGTCCTGGGGGAAGTTCGGCGAACCTGCGTCAACATCTCAAATACACACAACTTTCCAAAGTTTCAAAAACGATCTTGGGGTATAAGGAGAGAAGCAAATTGAATGTACTCCATAGGCCGGAAAAGTCATGAATCCAGCAATGAAATGTGGAAAGGGGGGAAGTGTATCTAAAATCTCAAGTTTCTGGATTTTCCAAAGAATGTAGGGCTGCATATTTTGACTCCCCAATTATCTTATAATGTCATACATAAAATTGCATACTTCTGGCGACACGTTAAGCACATATAAACGGTGCCCACCCCCCCCTTGCTCGGCATGGATCGTCGCTTGTCATAACCAAACGACGTCATATATCACTATTTCAATGCTTCCTCTTCTTCTTCTTCTTCTTCTCTTACAATTCACAATATTCCTTGTCAATTCTCATTGCCCTACCCTGACTTGTGTTGGGCTTGCTTATCCACCGAGCTAGGTCTGCGCCTCAAGAGTCAACAGCATGGCCTCTTCAACACCATTGGTGAAACGATCCCTCTCTGGGCAAGAACTCCCGGGAGACGAACCGCTAAGCTCTCCCGCAAAAAGGCGCCGGGTCAATTCCGCTGAGAAAATGCCCATTGAGACAACGGTTGCGTCTGAACCTCTCAGAGAACCCATGCCTTGGACAACTACCGAAACAGAGGTCTTAGTCGAACGTACCTTCAGTTTAAGAAGTGTGCTCGAGGATGATGATCTGCCAATAGAATGCAACTGCTCACCATTGCGCGGCCGATCCGACTACCGCATCTGGCGCCGCAAAATGAAGCTTATTCTGAGCCGGAATCTGCTTTTGGATTTGGTTGAGGGTAAAATCGGTCAACTCCCTCAATCACATTACTTGGAAAGCCAATTAGACAGTTTGAACGAGGCGGCGAGAAAAATCATTAATACAAACCTATCTGCCACTACCAGGCTGATTGTTCGCAACATTCGAAATCCACAGAAGATGTGGGAAAAATTGGAAAAACACTGCAAACCCTCTGATTGGAGCTTGGTGCGATCTGGTTGGCTTGAGTTGCAGAATATCAAGTACAGCCAGTGTTGTGACGTCTGGGAGTATGTGTATAAGGTGGACGATGCGTGGAGGTGCATCTGCCTTGACCAGGAGGATATTCTTGAGAAGCACGAGGTTGCCCGTTGTGCTAGTCTCATGTGCTCTTTGGATACACCGAAGTGGGAAACTTGGAAGATGGGGTTTCTTTCTAGTCGCAATATCAATATACCGAGCTGGGCAAGTCTTGTGGAGAGCTTGACGTCAGCCGAGGACAAGGGCATTGTGTCCGATCTTATTGGTATTGCAATCTGACTGTTTGTTCCACTCACTCACAAATACCTAACATAGTCTCCAACGTGCGTTTCGATTATTACGTTGTCACCATCATCGACTTACTTGGTACGGGATTCTCCTTCGAGAATAGGTAACTTTTCGTACATAAAATCTACTTTAGCCCCTGAAATTGGCTAGCTCGGAAGTTATATAGCTTTGTAGACACGACTTACTAGGGCGGTAAGTTATAGTGGTGAATAGGCGGGATATGACTCTCGAGCCGTTTATGGGGTTTATATACGCTCGGAGCCTAAGGCCGTTACTTAGTAGTTCCTCTAAGTCATAAGCAAGGCAGGGCAACCCTAGAGGAATTGCCTCAGCAACCAATGACATCCATGGATGATAAGTTTCACCGCTTGTCTTGGGTTATACAACATAAGTTCCCTGAGATGACATCAGAACCCTGCGTTAACTACATTCCTTCCAAGGTTCCAAGGTTTATCACTTGGATTACCTAAAATTGACAGGATCTTTCTATACTCCATGGAGAAAGTGAACCAGGCTGTGTCCGATGCCCTTGAAACGCATCGTTCAATCCGAATTCTAGGTGATCTGCCTACAGAAAAGTTGAACCCTGAAGATTATCTGGGCTCGACTCGAGGATTAATCGAAAGCTTCATTGATTTTTGGAAAGAAAAGGCTACATTACGGCTTTTGGCGGTGGAAGTTTGGCCACGACAAACCTACTTTGCGCTCGACTTCAATAATGACGAGTACGACTATGACAACGCCCACACTCAAGTGATTGTCATACCTGTCTACCTGCTCCGGCTGTCCAGAAAAAGCCATACCTGGACAATCTTTCGACACAAGCCCCAAGACTCAGCACTGGCCAGAAGAATTGCCGGTCTACATGAAGGCAATGGGCAGAACCCCATCCCCTTCGTTGAAGACCATATCATAGGCGTAACACATTATGCCCCTCGGAGCATTAAAAGTCCTCTCGGTATATCTGAGAAACCCACATGAAGAGCGGCTATCCCGTCAATATAATTTTCCCGATTGTTTTCACCATGAGACCAAAAGGACGGATAGTATGGATGATTAGGAGAATATTCGTCCAATGTCTCGTCTTCGTCGCTACATGCATGTTAGAACATAGATAGACTGCATAAGTAACCTTGTAGACTCATCATTGTGAAAATACTGCGAGTTTGGTCAACAGATGATCAAATTGTCAGATTAAATCTGGAAACTTTTAAAATATGTACGGAGTAGCATTATGGTTGCTGAAAGGAGACAATATTTGGCAGGGGGCAGGGGGTGCCAAGACCTCGCGGTTACGGGGAAACATTGGGGAAACACCCGTGGACCAGTGGACATCACCTCAACTACACATAACATGCAACATATGTAAACCACATCCGATGTTGAGAATAATTAGCCCCGAATTGGCTATTGCTATGTAAAGCCACATGGCTGCTGGCACCCAGGTTGACTTGACGACGCCACGTGCACCGATTGTCAAGTCGCGACTGGCTCGACTGCGGTGGAGCTTCATTTTATTTCTCATCCTGGGGTCATTGGCAATTACTTCAGAGATATACATCTTCGAAGGTCTTCGACAGAGCTGGTTTTTCTCTCTCAAACCTCTCCCCGTCATGCGCAGTCTCGTTTTGCTTTCCGCGGCGGCCTCAGCGCTGGCTCAAACCCCGGGGGACTCCTTCTATCCCCCGAAGCTGAATGATACATCATACATCAGCAACAGCTCGATTGAGACATATGGGGGTATTTATGAAGCTCCAACCAATGGTCCAACCGGAGGCAACCCCTTTGGCACCTATGACTACTGCTCCATGCCGCATCCTCGTTCAGAGGAATACGAGCTCCCTGAAGCTCTAGCCAATGGGTCAACTGAGGGAAAGCTTGTGTATTTGGAGTATCTACAGCGCCACCAGCGGCGAACTCCGTACAACATTCTCCCAGGCGGAGAGGTAAGCAACTCTCAAATCGACTCTCAGTCTAAGTTAACTCCTTTCCTAGAACCAAGCATATCACTGCGATGATGTGCGCCCGTATCTCTACGCAGGCCCGAACAGCGCAAGCGGCATCCAGCCCATGCCAATGTACGCACAGACATACCAGGACCCCAGCAACCCCTTCACACCCGGCGTAAACGGCACCTGTCAGTACCCCCAGATGACCATCGGAGGAGTCCAGGACGGATATCAGCACGGCAAGGACCTGTGGGGCGTCTACGGCGAGAAACTCGGCTTGATCCCTGCGGAGCCAAACAACCGCGTCTGGTTCCGCTCCAGCGAGTCCGCTCTTACCCAGGCCTCGGCTGGCGCGGTCCTGCGCGGCATGTGGCCTGACCACAAGGGAGCTCTACCCTTGCACCAGATGGTCACGTCTGTGAATACTGTAAACAGCGGATACTCTTGCCCTGCTGTCAGCTCTACTCTGTCGAGTATGAAGACTACCACGCAGTGGAAAGAGCATCTTGCTGTCACCGAGGAGTTGCGCTCGAAGCTGGGCGCTATGTTGGGCGCGACGGAGAGTTCGTGGCAGAGTACCTTTGACCACTTTGCGGATAACTTCCAGGGTCGTCTCTGCAACGGCTATGAGCTTCCCTGCAGTCTGACCAATTCGTCAGCCTGTGTCACGATGCAGATGGCTGAGGAGGTCTTCCGTGCTGGTGACTGGGAGTGGAATTACTACTGGCGCACGAACCCGGATGCGGTCAAGTACATCCAGGTTGTCGAGGGCTTGTTTATTGGCGAGATCATTTCTCGTCTGCAAGCTGTCCTGGACGGGAAGTCGTCCTTTGATTACAGCCACATCTTCATCCATGATGGGGATATCGGTCCTATCCTGGGTGCTTTGGGAATCGAGACGCTTCGCTGGCCCGGTATGGCATCAAACGTTGCTTTTGAAGTTTGGTAAGTCAGGCCGTTTCCTGGGATACTGGGGTTTTCTAACGATTTTTTAGGGAGACGAAAGATAGCGAGGACGTGGACTCCTTCTACGCTCGGGTTTTGTATAGTGGCCATCCCATACGAAGCATCCACGGTGTTCTTGACTGGGTCCCTCTCTCGAAGCTGATTGATATCATGAGCCCCTACGTCCCTGAGGATATAACTTCTCTCTGTGGATAATGGTCTCGCAGGATCTTTCTAGAATAATCATTCCAGAGTTATCCTTTTTTCGGTCCCTTCCTATTACCCATAGAAGAAACAATACGGTTAACTTAGCCAGAGTGTTGAGAGTTCCATCCCACATTTAAAACATAGTATTTCTTATTCTCCGAAATAGATTACCACATGATATGGGTAGACGTCCCACGTGCAAGCTAGGTGAGGTGCTAGTGGTACTAACGTTTCAAGTGCTGCCTAGAAAGCCTAGCACTCAGCTATTGTAATCAGGCGCACAGAATCAAGCAATTTGTAATTTCTAAGGTTGAGAATGTCATAATCCGGACCAAGTCGTTGTCTTTCCGTATGGGGTCCAGAAAAGACCCAAATGCGTCCCCGTCTCTTCATGCGATACCTCAGAAAGTACAATTATTCAAGGGACAGGATATCTCAGATTAAATATTAATATTTTCGTTATTCATGACAATTGCACGTTGGTCGCTAAATATAACGCCGCTCTTTGTCTACTCGTCTTTCCCAACATTATTCCCTGTACCGCCATCAACAAATATCCTGCAACAACTGGTTAAGAATCGCAAACAGATCAAAAGATATACTCATTCCACCGGATCCGAGACAGCAAACTTGCTCAAAGCACGAAGCCTGCTACCATAGAAGTAAAGCAACCAGATACCAATAATCCCAATAACACTCAGTCCACCAAGAAGACTGACACCCCGAGCAACACCCAAGTTCCCAAACAGCGGGTGCGCAAACAACACACTACCACAAGCAAGCGCACTGCGGAAGAAATCATTCGCAGCGAACAGACTAGCCGCGTACTTGGGGTAGGTGAGCGGGATGTACATGAAGATGCACTGCATGACGATGAAAACCGTAGCGCCATAGATGGTAATACCAATGGTAGGCGCGATCCAATGGATAGACGCACGTGCGGTCCAAGCAAAGAGGAAAAGACCAATGAGAGGACCAAAGGAAGCAGGCAGCGCGGGGATAAGAAGCTTCTCATTTACAGGGAAGCCGAAGCGACGGATGCGCCGGTTCATCCAGAAGTGGATGTAGCTGGCGTAGACGGCAATTCCGATAATGCATGAAACCAGCACACACAGGAAGACTAGACCGATCTGGCCGAGGTTCATGTTGTAGTCGACTGGGTAGACCAGAGGGAAGACCTCGAAGAAGGAGTAGTAGATGCCGTAGATGATGGCTGTGTAGATCTGGACGAAGAGGACGGCGGGGTCCTTGATGGTGATTTCCATGGGCTTGATTAGGGCGTCGACGGCGATGTCTGAAACACGCATGTTTCGCTGGTCGAGCTCGGACTGCGACATGAAGCGGTTGTTATTGTGGATTTTGCGGAGACGGGCGGCGCGGCGGAGGAGGATTGTTGCGCTGCTGGTTTCTGGGAGGAACATGAACATCAAGATGAAGACTGGGGCGGAGGCCCAGATTGATTCGAAGAGGGACCAGCGCCAGCCTTTGACGGGGACGGCGAAGCCGCTGAGGAGGGGGCCGAGGGCGGCTGTGGAGTTTTGTTAGTAGATGGACGGATATTGGGTGTAGATAAAGTAGGAAGGGAAACTTACGTCCACAGTAGGCTGCAGAAACCCAAGCCATCATGGCAAAAGGCAGGTTCATTAGACTATACATGTCTCCGATGGAAGCACCTCCAGATGCAAGACAGGGCGAGCCAAAGAATCCTTGCAGGAAGCGCAGCACCATCAGACCGGCGAAGTTGCCCACGAAGGCAGTTGGGATGGAGATGATCACGAAGAGGAACATCGTGATGATATAGACTGGATTACGTCCAATCACGGGGATTTCACTCAGTGGAGAGAAGACCAATGGCCCGGTGCCATACCCCAGAACATAAAGTGACAATCCCAAAGTAGCGACCAAGGTGCTCACACCGAACTCCCTCATGATACCCTCTGTTGAGGAGGTGTAGATCGCAGAAGTGGTATACACGACGAAGGTGTATAGACAGATCAAAATAGTAATGAAAGCGCGCTTGCCATTGGACCAGTTGTGTGGGTTCTCCGAATCATCGGTATAGTACCAATCAACAAGGATGGAACCATCTTTTGTTTTCTTGGGCGCGATGGGGATGGATTTGATTTTCTCGATTTCATGTTGTTCGTCGGCCTCAAGGCGAGCTTCGGTGAATTGTATGGATGCTTCGGTCGACGCCCGGCTTAGGGGCTCACTATCTTCAGGGCTTCTGGTGGAGTCTTGCTGGATGGCCTTCTTTTCGTCGCTCCCGTCTCCATTGGAGTTCAACAACTGGAGCCATGTGTCGGGAAGCTTGAAGTCAGGCTTTTCTTCGGGGTATTGGAAGTATTTATTGTTTGTCAAGAGACGAACAAGCTGCCCGAATGGGGCATCTCGAATGATAGATGCCATTTGGATAAGAAAGATAACCCTTGGGTTGTTATAGCTGAATTGGATGAGATACTATCAATTAAGCTTATATTAAGAGGTGGACTAGCCTATATATACTTCCTTCGCACACTACTATAACCTACATATATCTATTTCAAATCGGTTGAATAATAACTAAACTCCGAGTATTAGGAATCAACCTGATTTCAAAGTAATCTTTTGATCGATAATCCGATATTATACGATCCTTGGGCTGAAGATCAGAGTCTGCGCCAATCAGAATGGCGCATCAACGCCATCCCAGGGTTTCTTAGATGAATTCACCCGACTCCGACTCGTATTGCCTTACGTTATGCTATATACTCTAACCTATAACGGGAATTAACGTTGGAAAAATGACCAGTTCATCATTTTTGACTCATCGCATCATTTACAAATTTGCTATGTCGTTATGTTCGGAGATTAGCCGCTTAGATCCGCCATGATATCTCC